TCAACAGTTACAGATTTTCCCTTTCTTGTAGCTTGGAAAATGACACGTTTCAAAAATGCTGATGCTGAATTTGCCTTATGGATCTGGGCATATCAATCCTTACAAGCCGTTGATCCCGGCCTAATATATGAAGCTGGTAAAGAGGATTATATAAAAATTCTTTGTTCCTCGGGCTACAATTCGAGTCAGATAAAACAGTTAGCAGGAGACAATAGCACTTGTCTAAAAGGGCTGATCATAAGTCATTAGTCAGTAATCTAAACTATCCTTCAATGGCTATCAAGATTGCTGAACCACGAAAGCCATTTAGGATAGTTTTTCATCGAACTGTTACAAATGTTGGCCGCACAAACACCACTTACAAAGCAGTCATCTCCTTGAATCCAAATGTTAATTTCAAAGTGGTGCCTCGAGTTCTCTCTTTCAAGTCTTTGAATCAGAAGAAGTCTTTCAAAGTTAAGGTTTCTGCAAATAAATTGAAAAAGCCAGTGCATGAATCTTTGGTCTGGTTCGATAATTTCGGTCACAACGTAAGGAGTCCCATTATTGTGTATTGAATTTTATGAAGGGGTTGCCTTAAATAATTATTAAAAATAAAATAAAATTAATGCATTAAGATTTTCTTTTAAATTCATGCTTTCCTTGAATAACTACAAAATTAATTAGATTATTACTCAATCATTCTAATTAATTAGTAAAATTTTTAATTACATATATAGTGGAATTTCGACAAGTAAAACAATTTTAGTTTGATTTTAATAAAACTTTTAATTATATTAATGGGAATTTTCGTAAAATAATACACGACCTTCGTGCTTCTTTGTTTCATGGTTGTGTCGTGTTTGAATTTCGCAAAATCTGCTCTGAACTCGACTGATTATTATTCCTAGTGCACTCTACCTTGTAAAAATATACATCATAAATGAAATCACAACTTTTGATGGAAAAGAAATCACAATATTAAGAAGTGAAATTATTCTGAAAGTTTGTATCGTCAAATTCAAAGTGGTGTTTGGTAGATTTGCAAGAGAAAAATAATCTAATAAGAAATAAAAGAGATTTGCATACTAGGAAGGAGCAGATTCGTATCTGGTTAGGGATATTTCTTCGAATCCTCCTTTAAATATGTAGAATCCTTAAATAAATGAAAAAAATAATAATGAAATATTAGATTAATTCAGTTTCTGAGTCTGTATATGTTAATATTTTATAAATAATATATTTGACTATTTTGACTTTTACATAATACCAAGACCATCTTGTAACCTATTACTTAATAGGTTAAGGTGAATGACTTGCCCTGACTTTGTCAAATTGGGTATGAGGGATGCTATTCTGATCATCCCAGAATATCATAAATAGACTTTGTAAGATATACTGTCACGAATTTGTATTCCTTTTGGAAACCAAATATTTCCTCTGTTAACAGTTTTAAGTATCTCACTTAATTTTATAAATATAATAATGAAAAATTTATGTATTCAATTAAATTAACTTAATATAAAAATTTCTGGGTATTAAACTTTTTTCCATTATGTTTTCCAATTTTCCTTGAACAAATTGTTTTTCAATTATTGTTTGGGGGATTCTAATGAGAAAGAATTTTTTCTTTTAAGAAACTTATGAAATGGAATTATTTAACGTTATTTGAATCTCTGCAGAATACTTTCTGCATTCATTGTTTATAGTCCAATAAAAAGAATTTTTAAGCAAGTTTTCCCTTGCATCTTCTCCGGGTTAACATCTTAGAATTAAAGTTTTCAGATTGGATGAATCATCAGAAGAAGGAAACAAGTTAATCACGAACATCAAGATAAATACCAATCAATCGATATACTTTTGCACAATCAACATTCAAGAATGGCTAAGCAAGCGTCTGTCCTGTTTTTCTACATTCTCTCTGTTCTACTACTCTGTATTAGCCTATCTTGTGGTGCCACCAATGAGGAGAGAAAGGTAAGTGTGTATTGTATTTTTTTTTTTTTTTCGATGTTGTTGATAATGGATGACCTTACATAGATTAATATTGGTGGTGGTGATGATGATGATGACTTAGGCCTATATTGTGTACATGGGATCACTTCCTAAGGACCGGTACTTTCCTGCAGCTCATCATGTTACCATGCTTCAAGATGTTGTTGGGGCCAGGTGAAATTCTTGAATCTTATGTCTATGCAGATTTGTACTTATTCGCCTATATATATATAAATAATAGTTAACTCTTTTCAATGTCATATACTATTGGATTAGAATCTAAATGGTATAAGAGCTAACTTTTTGGTGTTTCATGGTTTGGTCTCATTTGTGATTGCTGCTTACTGGGTGAGAGCTATTAGGAGATGTAATGCCACATTAACCAAATAAGAGGATTTGTGGTGGTTTACATGGTTGTTTCTTTAAATTTACATTTTAATGTTTTTTTGTCTTTTGCTAGCTTTGAAGAAAATCTATTGATTAGAAGTTACAGAAGGAGTTTCAATGGATTTTCAGCCATGATCACTGATTCTGAGAGAAAGAAGCTGGCCGGTGAGTGTTGCAAATGCCTTTCTGTGTAAGAAAATTCAAAAACACGATTGAATCATGGATGAGAACAGTATGTATAACATTTATATTTAAACTTTGGTCTTTCCAGCAATGGAAGGAGTAGTCTCAGTTTTTCCTAGTAGAATTTATCAGCTCCACACAACAAGATCTTGGGGCTTCATGGGGTTCAACGAGACTATTGATCAGAAGCTTCATGATCCAAAAAAGGAGAGTAAGGTTATCATCGGTGTTATTGACAGTGGAATCTGGCCTGAATCCGAAAGCTTCAGTGATGGAGATCTTGGTCCAGCTCCAGAGAAGTGGAAGGGTGCATGTAATGGTGGAAGCAACTTCACTTGCAACAAGTGAGTTTGACTCCTATATTTTCTGAAGTAAATTAATTGATTTTACAAAGGTTGAAACTTTTTCTGAGGTTAATTCTGTCTTACAGCAAGATTATTGGAGCACGGTATTATACTACAGATTCTGCAAGGGATAGTAATGGCCACGGATCTCATACTGCATCTACAGCAGCAGGGAACGCAGTAAAGAATGTAAGTTTTTATGGACAAGCTCAAGGTACTGCAACAGGAGGGGTTCCCTTTGGCAGAATTGCTGCGTATAAAGTTTGCGATGAGAGTGGGTGTAGCTCACAGGCCATCTTGGCTGCATTTGATGATGCTATTGCTGATGGAGTTGATATCATATCAATTTCAATAGGACCAGCAAGTCCAAGTGACCTGATGGAAGATCCTACCTCCATTGGTGCTTTTCATGCAATGGCAAATGGAATTTTGACAGTACAGTCAGCAGGAAATTCTGGTCCAGCCAGTTTTTCAGTGGTTAGCATTGCACCATGGATTCTTACTGTTGCAGCAAGCACCATTGATCGTGCCTTCATTGACAAAGTTATTCTTGGAAATGGAGAGACTTTAGTTGTATGTATCAATAAATCTCTTCCTTATTGACCTGTGTGATTTTCTTTAAACTGTACCTCTTATTTTTGTTTTCGGCTTCCTTGTGTTAATGATTACCTTACTACAAACAGGGCAAATCAATTAATTCTTTTAGTCTAAAAGGAGGAAAATATCCTTTGATCTATGGAAAGGATGTCAGTTCGGACTGCCTTCCTGAGTCTGCAGGGTAGTTATTTATATAAATCATTTCAACTTCACGACTAGTCGATTGCTATTAGTATGCTAATGAAGTAAGAAATTTTAACCTCTGATGAATTTCAGGATGTGCAATGAAGGATGTGTCGATAGTAATTTAGTTAAGGGAAAAATTGTTGTTTGTGATCAGAAGAAGGGATTTGCTGTTGTTCATAAAGCAGGAGGCGTGGGAGCAGTTCTTAGAGACATGATAGTATCTGAGAACGTTACTTCGGTTTTCTCTTTGCCAGCATCAGCTTTAGTACCTGATGACCACGAAACAATCAAGTCTTATCTTCAAACAACCGGGTATGGAGAGCAATACTGCTTGCCGTTTATGTATTTACTTTCTAGCTTTCCTTCAGATAAGTCATTCTTGAACCATATTTTACAGCCCTGTAGCAGAAATACTGAAAAGTGAGACCAGAGAAGATACAAATGCTCCTGTTGTCGCTTACTTTTCTTCACGTGGGCCAAGTTTATTTGCTGAAGACATTTTAAAGGTAGTTACCGTCTATAATCTATACCTCTCAGAGCTCTTATATCTTCATTCTTCTATATTGGAGTTTTAATTGTTTGAAGCATTGGTGCAATGCAGCCAGATTTAACCGCTCCAGGGGTAAATATCTTGGCTTCTTTTTCACCTCTTGCTTCACCCTCAGGTGATCCTTTAGATAATCGTCGTGTAAATTACAATCTATTATCTGGCACCTCCATGTCTTGCCCCCATACTTCTGGAGTTGCTGCTTATGTGAAAGCCTTTCACCCAGATTGGTCTCCTTCAGCCATCAAATCTGCTTTAATGACAACTGGTTTTCTTCTATCTCCTAACTTCCCCATTTATAATATCAACTTTTTCTTTGTAAAAATTTCAAAATTTGATGTTTTTTGGTGGCCAAACTAACAGTCCTTTTCCTTTTTTTTCTTGTAGCCTGGCAAATGACGCCTTCCAAGAATGCAGATGCTGAGCTCGCATATGGATCTGGTCATATCAGTCCATTACAATCTACTGATCCCGGGCTTGTATATGAAACTGATGAACAGGATTACATACAAATGCTCTGCGACTTGGGCTATGGTTCGAGGCTTGGACAAATAGCAGGTGGAAATAGCAGTTGTCCTGAGAAGAAATCTTTCGTCAGGGATCTTAACTATCCTTCAATGGCTTCCAGAGTTATCAAACCAAAAGAGCCATTTACCATTACTTTTCATCGAACTGTTACAAATGTTGGTCATGCAAACTCCATTTACAAAGCAATGATCTCCTCAAATCCAAATGTTAATATAACAGTGGTGCCTCAAGTTCTCTCTTTCAAGTCTTTGAATGAGAAAAAGTCTTTCGAAGTAACTGTTGGCAGAAATAATTTGGCATCTCCAGTGTCCGAATCTTTGGTCTGGTCTGATGATTTTGGTCATAAAGTGAGGAGTCCTATTGTTCTGTATTCCTGGTCATGATTAGAATATTTCTAGTTTCATTAGAAACCTTATTGCCTATTAAGCTGCAACCTGTTACAATAAATTCTCACAATTTAAACCTTTGTAATATTCTTAAATTGTTAATCAAAACATTCTTTTTTTTCCCATATAATTTCTCACTCCAGTTTTATGTTAACTTTAAACTGGTTAGGAATAAACAAAGGAACTTCTCTACTTAATTGCAAAATCAAGAGAGGCAGAGCAACAACTTAAAGACTTCACTCAGGATTTTTACCAAACAAGTAGTGAGCAGAAAAAAGAAATGCTGAAGAACTGATCTAATTTTATTATTTCCAGCCAGCAAATTTATACACCAAAGTTGCAACCAGAAACCCAAAAAATCAGCGGCTAAATACCCATGATAAACACATCTCTAAAATATCTACCACTTACCCACTATCCATAAG